AATCGCGACGCGGGGCTACGAGTATGTTAATTGACTTGTACAGAACAGTGATTTTGACTAGTTAGTAAAATTGTATGCTGCTAGAACCACCAATACAGTAATTTTAAAGGAGTATTGACTGACTGAACTTAAGCATGTTGGCTTATGGGGTCTGTCCTACCATTAGTAGAGTTAGGCAGCCAACTTCAATGGCAAATGCTGAAGTGGGGAACCAATAGAAACATTTACTAAGGCAGAAAATAAACAATAAAAAATGCAAAGATAGAAATTAAAAGCAAACATTTGGCAAATGATGTATTTTAATTTCCATTCTAAATGAAAAGGCACAGAAGGCAAGCATATCTCTTAGCAATTGCATAGTTTCCAGTGATGGATTCTAGATTAAGGAATCTAGGAACAATCACTGGAAACTATGCCCAGCAAGAAATTGTCATCCCAGTACATATATTTCAATTTAGGAATTGTATGATGCCCAGAGGTTGAAATTCTTAGCAGTCTAACTGCCAACATTTAAGCTCCTGGCATTATTTGTTTGGATAAGCTCTTCCTTCAGCCAAATCTATCCATTAAGGGTAACTAACCCCAACCCTTTTTATCACGTTTTCTGCCTTCAGATGTAATAGAACATGTCAATTGCCTGTTAACTGATTTTCATATATGGCATTGAAGGCCACAGGTATCTTATCGTTTATCTGCAGAATTGGCTACCTTGGCAGTTCTACTCTGGGATGGTATTGAATGTCATAACCAAAAAAAGTTACAACAACTATTGATTTTCATAGAGATGGTTACATTTCATAATTATTTGAATTTTCTGTCATCTTTCTTTTATTATACTCTGCCTTTTCCCCTGTAGCATGTCAGTTTTTAATTTTTTTAAAAAAATTACATTATAAATATTTTATAAATGAAATACCTGAAAAGTTAAAGGCATTGGATCCATCATGTATTTTTCCATTCACTCCTTTTTTTGAATTGCAATGTTCCAGATCACTTTACTATCTTCTTTTTTCAGTAATCAAGAATATGAAGAAAGCATTGCATCTCATTCAGACCGAATTGTAAATGAATGCTGAATTGATGACCACAACAACAGATAAAAGAAATGTGGACCAAGAAAAATCATTTACAAAAGCTGTTGTGTTGTCTTGTCCCTTTGGAATGTTATCTATTTACGTTGCAAGCTTACTTCACATCTGCTGAAAAAAATAATAGTGGCTGTAATAATAGAAGAATTCAGTGATGTTCATCAGGTTACTTCTCTCCTTGGGATTTTATATAGCAGGATACTTTCCCATGCTACTGAAGAATCTGTTTTATAATAAGGATACAGGTTTAATGAAGGAGATGTGTTGTATTGCCTTTCTAAATATATGCATCAGGTTATTTTGCATTAATGAAGGCCATCACAAACCTCAGAAAACAAGTTCTTTTCTGTAAATACTGTTGCTAGAGATAGAGATACTTCTGTTCCATATATCTCTTGAATTCACAGTCCCGATACTTTCAATTTATAGAAGTCCAAATGAAATAGTAGTTTTTTGTGAGTCAATATGATATAGCAATTAGGGGGTTGAATTGAGACTTCAAAAACCTGGGATCAAATCCCCATTTAACAATAGAATTTATTGAATGACTAGGGCTAGACTTGGGCTATATTGCTCACTAGGACCTTGTGAGGATGATGTGACGAGTGATCACATTTGTGATGCCTTAGCTTTCTTACGGAAATATGTCTTTGTAGAACAGTAATGTTGTTGGTTGAAACTCTCGCTTTGTACTGCTGTGTAGAAAAATGCTTATAGGATAGAAAGAAAAAATTTCATTTGCTAGAATGCAAGAAATTAATGTCATAAAGTTCCATGGGAAGGACTCATTAATAAGTGACTTACATTTAAAGTTCTGAATATGTTGCAAATGACTGGTGAGCTGCGTAGTTTCATAAAAGAAATTAATAAAACTCTGCAGTCAACTTCTTTGTGTGCTTCTTTAGTATCTCATGCTATCAAATTATGTACAGAGTTCTTTCAGTATATGAATACAGCATTGCACATGGCAGATGTACAATAGAAAAAGAGATATATCCAGCCTTCTGTTCCCAAACAAACTAAGTGCCCATTGAAATAACTCTTGTATCCCAGCAACTGGCATCAAGAAGTACATTATTTCTGTTGCTGGTAATAATATATGGCTTTTCCTATCAATCATGATTGAGACTTATATATGGCCTGAAACTGCATTGGTCACCATGTAGGATGGATCACTTAGGCAGCACTGGATTATGGGAATTTTGACCCTCCTGAGTTTCCTGGCAGCTTTAACATCTCTGTACAGGGCTGCTATACAGCATAGAGTAGCCTTCTTCATCTGTGTGTCCTCAAGTAACTATAGTTTCCAGAATTTCTGTTTAAGTATGCTTACCAGGAAGAATATAGTTCCAACATTTCAGGAAGTATCACACTGGGAAAAGTTAAAGGCATCAAGATTCTGCAGTATTATTTCACAACCACTGAGTGGCATCAGTTACACATCAAGTATGTTTCAATCTAAGATTATTGCAAGAAAAGATATTATATGTAATTCTTTTTTTCTATGTACAAGCAACAAACTGATTGGATTTATTCGACCATTTCTCTTGCCTGCAGCTTATTTATACAATTCTATCATTATGCTAACTATGTTATTATTCATTGTTTTAACTTTCACCCCTCAATTATCAGTATTTGAATCCACATGACGCAAGTCAATCAATCAGACTAGAACAGGAAAGGACATTGGAGGTCTTCTCGTTCAAGCCCTTGGTCAAGCAAGAGACCCTATACAATTTCAGACAAGTGACTGTCCAGTATTTTGTTAAAAGCCTTTTGTGATCAAGCACCTACAACTTCTGGAGGCAAGCTGTTCCACTGGTTAATTGACCTCACTATTAGGAAGTTCCTTCTTAATTCCAGTTTGCTTCTCTCCTTGATTAGTTTCCATCCATTGTTTCTTATCTTGCCTTCTGGTGCTTTGTGGTAGCCCCTCAAATTCTGGAATACTGTTATCATGTCACTCCTAATTCTTCTTTTCTCTAGGCTAGCCATACCCAATTCCTTCAACTGTTAGTTCATATGTTTTTGTCTCCAGGCCCCTAGTCATCATAGTTTGTCTTCTTTGCATTTTTTCCAAAATCTCGACATATTTTTTTGTAATGAAGCAACCAAAACTGGATGGAATATTCCAAGTGTGGTCTTACTAATGATTTATAAAGTGATACTAATACTTCACATGATTTTGAATCTTTGCCTCTGTTATACAACCAAGGATTGTATTAGGTTTTTTTTTTTTTTTACTGCTGCCACCTACTGCTGGCTTATGTTTAAGTGATTGTCCACTAGGACCCGGAAGTCCTTCTCATAGTTTCTGTTTTTGAACCATGTTTCACCTAATATGTATTTATAATGTGGTGACCAAAACTGGATGCAGTACTCTAGGTGTGGTCTTACTAAGGCTTTATAGAGTGGTATTAGTACTTCCCTTGATCTTGATTGTATCCCTCTGTTAATACAATTTAGGATTGCATTAGCTTTTTTGGCTGCTGCTGCACACTGCTGGCTCATATTTAGCTGGTTGTCCACTAAGATCCCTCTCACAGTTACTGCTATTGAGCCTGGTTTCACCCAGTCTATATGTGTACTTTTGGTTTTTCTTGCCTAAGTGTAGGACTTTACTTTTCTCTACATTGAATTTCATTTTGTTAGATACGGCCCAGTGTTCTAGTCTGTCAAGATCCATCTGGATCTTGAGCCTATCTTCTTGGGTGTTAGCTATTCCTGCCAGCTTAGTATCATCTGCAAATTTGGTAAGTTCCCCTTCTATTCCCTCATCTAAGTCGTTAATGAAGATATTGAAGAGTACTGGGCCTAAGACTGAACCTTGTGACACCCCACTGCTTACTTCCCTCCATGTAGACTTAGACCCATTAAGGACTACTCGTTGAATATAATATAATCATATAATATAATCAAGGACCTGTATACTGCACAAATCAAAAAGAGGGCTGTGAAAATATTTATAGACCCCTCAAATCCCGGACATAAACTGTTTCAACTCCTTCCCTCAAAATGACACTATAGAGCACTGCACACTAGAATAACTAGACACAAGATTTTTCCCCCCGAAAGCCATCACTGCTCAACAAATAATTCCCTCAACACTGTTCAACTATCACACTACTATTACTGTTAATCTTCTCATCCCATCCCTTCCCATTTGTGACTGTATGACTGTAACTTTGTCGCTTGTATCCTTACGATCTATATTGACTGTTTCCTAGTATGTTTCAGCCAGTCTTCTAAAAGCTTGCAGATTTTCACACAAACCACCATAAAACAGCAGAAAGCAGGTTTTAAGGTGTTTAATGTCAAACAACAAACTTCCCATCCAGCAAGAATGACATACAATCTGGTCTAGGTTAGCACTGGAAGCTTCTGCCTTCCAATGCTATTTAAAGGTATAAATACACCCACCTAAATGCTCTTATCTCCTGTTCTTGCCCCTAATTAGCCCCTTAATTACCTTTTAGGTCATCATCCAGTTATACCTAATATGTCCCTTGTTTCCTATCTCTGCAATCTATCATTCACCTATGAACCTTACCTACTCGCGAGTAAACTATATACCCAGATTCCCCTCCCTCCATCATCTGTTGCAGCACAACAGTCGATTCCAAAAGCTGCAAAAGGACAGGAGGTTTCCTGGATTTTCCCTCTCATTACTGTCGACCATCCCGCTCTGCCAAAGCACAATCACAGAAGTATAGTGTGTCAGGATTCAGCGGCTCTTGCAAACGTACTGACGGGCTCAGTTTATCTATCATCACTAACGGAGTCCGACAGTATGATTTGATTGCTTATTGTACCCTCTGACTATCATTAAGTGTTGTACCATATGATTCTTGAATCTTGACGAATGTATCTTTTCTTTTATGTATTCTGAGAATATTTGTACCAAGACAAATTCCTTGGAATACCATTCCATTCCATTCCATTCTATCCTATCCTATCCTATCCTATCCTATTCTTCCTTCCATCTATGTAGAGTCCATTAAGAAGTACTCATTGAGTACAGTTTGGTGATGCTGTCTATGCCACATTTTTCTTGTTTACCAAGAAGTAGGTTGTGGTCTATTTTGTTGAATGTCTTGCTGAAATCTAAGTATGCTAGTCCATAGCATTTAGCTGGTCTACTAATTTAGTCACTCTGCCAAAGAATGAAGTAAGATTGGTTTGTCATGATCTGTTTTTAACAAACCTGTGCTGGCTACTAGTTATAACTTCAATTGTTCACAGATCATTTCCTCCCACAGTATCTTCCCAGGTATTAATGTTAGGCCGATTGGTCTGTAGCTTCCTGGGTCTTCTTCTTCTTCTTCTTCTTCTTCTTCTTCTTCTTCTTCTTCTTCTTCTTCTTCTTCTTCTTCTTCTTCTTCTTCTTCTTCTTCTTCTTCTTCTTCTTCTTCTTCTTCTTCTTCTTCTTCTTCTTCTTCTTCTTCTTCTTCTTCTTCTTCTTCTTCTTCTTCTTCTTCTTCTTCTTCTTCTTCTTCTTCTTCT